TTCCATAGTAGGAAATAAAATACTGTGGAAGTCAGTGGGCACAGCTTTACAATGGTGACAAATGTAAACCTTTGGATAAACTATCCCTTTAAAGTTATATACAATTGAAGTCAGAATTATTAGCCCCCCTTTGAATTGTTTCTCTTTTTTTTATATTTCCCAAATGATGTTTAACACAGCAAGGAAATTCTCACAGTATGAGAATAATATAAATAATATCTCACAGTACAGTATAATATTTTTTTTTCTCAAGAAAGTCTTACTTTTTTTTTTTTTTTGGACTAGAGTAAAAACAGTTTTTACTTAAAGAAAAAAAAACAATTTAAGGACAATATTATTAGCCCATTTAAGCTATTTTTTTTCAATAGCCTACAGAACAAACCAGTTATACAATGACTTGCCTAATTAACCTAACCTGCCCAGTTAACCTAATTACCCTAGTTAAGCTTTTAAATGTCACGTTAAACTGTATAAAAGTGTCTTGAAAAATATCTAGTAAAATATTTACTGTCATCTTGGCAAAGATAAAATAAATCAGTTATTAGAAATGAGTTATTAAAACTATTATATTTAGAAATGTGTTGAATAAATCTATCTGCTCTCTGTTAAACAGAAATTGGAGGGGGGGATAAACAGGGGGGCTAATATTTCTGACTTCAACTCTATATATTTTAAAAACTCAAAACCTAAACATTGTTGTGTACCTTGTGATTTATCTGGAAATCTATGGATAAAGATCTAGCAACCATTCCAAAACCATATAGCAACACACTGGAAACCACATAAAAAACCCTAGCGCCATAGCAACAGCGTTAGCATGGGCATGCATCACTCACATCAGAATCAAGTCATATCTCCATGGAGAAGCTGCTCTATTGTCATTGCAGCACAGCGACAACATTGTGTTATGACTGAGCCTGATGCAGAATTGACAGCTGAATAGCATTTGAGTGGCATTCCTCTTCGTTTCCTGTTTCCACAGTTAATAAATAACATGTCTGTGCATTAAAAGCTTTAACCAGTCTATGAATATACTTCAGGGGCTTGATGGACGTGAGTGACATTTCCATGCTTGTATATTGTGCAAAAACTGTTTCGGCAAAAGGTAATCTTTCTGTCAGTCAAGGGCATTGTTGATCTAAACCCATCTGACAGAGTTTTCTAGATGCTGTTCTCCATACATTCACAGACTAATTGCAAATATAAGTATATATATTTAATTCCTTTATTTATTTAAGAGATTTATTTTTTCAGCTGTTGATAAAATTACATCTAACAACCAACATAATAGCTGTTAAAGGAATAGTTCTCTCAGAAATGGAAATTACCCTATGATTTACTCACCCACAAGCTATCCACTTTTTTTGTCAGACAAATACAATCGAAATAGTTTTAATTTTTGTCCAGGTTGTTCCATACTGTATAATGGTCTTGAAATTGGCTTTTAATTTGAAGCTTCCAAAACGGAATTAATAGGCTGATTTCACGCGGCCGCCATTTTAAAAGCCAAATTGAGACTGCGGTGAGAAGAAACCTGGAAATATCGTCTAAGTTACACAGGAACGTTTTGTACCTGGCTGTATATCTTATTATTTCACCCCTTTCCGAGTGACCCAAAGGTCCGGTCTGAATGGATAGTGAAAATAAAAACAGATATCGCACCTCATTTTCAGCTAAGTTAAAGGAAATGGCACTAGTTAGCAAAAGTTTTCTTTCTCAAACAGGCGTTTTAGATGCCATTTATCAAACTAAAGTTAATGAACTAATTCTTTTACTATATTAGACTTTTCCTGATACTGAATTTCGGTTCTACCAAAAAAAATAAAATAAAATAAATTCCTGCAAGGGCGAGGCAGTGGCGCAGTAGGTAGTGCTGCTGCCTCACAGCAAGAAGGTCGCTGGTTCGAACCTCGGCTCAGTTGGCGTTTATGTGTAGAGTTTGCATGTTCTCCCTGCCTTCGCATAGGTTTCCTCCAGGTGCTCCGGTTTCCCCCACAGTCCAAAGACATTAGGTACAGATGAATTGGGTTGGCTAAATTGTCCGTAGTGTATAAGTGTGTGTGTGAATAGGTGTGTGGGTGTTTTCCAGAGATAGATTGCAGCTGGAAGGGCATCCGCTGCGTAAAAACTTGCTGGATAAGTTGGCGGTTCATTCCGCTGTGGCGACCCCTGATTAATAAAGGGACTAAGCCGACAAGAAAATGAATGAATTTCTGCTAATTTTATAACATTTTAGCACTGTTGAGCACATTTATCAATACCGCTTATTTGCCATAGTATTTATCAGTGCTCAACAGAAATTACTGTGATTGGCTCATAGGTCATCAGTTCACTGAACTCACTGCTGTTTACTGAGTGCAAACACAGACGAGTGATCTGCTGATGACTCGACTGATCTTTGCAGCTTTAAAACGCTCCAGTGTCTCTGTATTTGTGTTTGTACTCTGTGAAGAGCAGCAAATTAATGATTTTCAGGGCCAATCACACTCATTTCTGTAGTAACTCTGGTGAATACTATGGCAAATCAGCGGTGTTGAAGAGCATGCTTAAATGTTAGTGGAAAATGGACATTTTTACATTTTTAGTATCGGGACAAAAGTATTACAGACAACACAAGGGTGTGCTGCAGAGGACTGCACTGTTTTATCACTCTCTGGGTTACAAAGGCTGAACGCAGAGAAGCATCCCCACAGTGTTTACCTGGTGCCATAAACTGAAAACTAGGGCGACACTTACGTATATTACTCTTAAAGAGATTACCCTTTATTTTGATGCCTAATATGCTTTAAATTGTTTAAATTAAACTTAACTGAATTATATTAAGTGATGTTTACACCATATCTGCAGTTTTAAATCACAGAAACAGCTGGAGGTTTGTAGTCCTGTAAATTGAATGGGATGTTGACTACAAAGGTCTGTGGATCCAAACGCAGGGTCAACACCAGGGCAATCAGATACATACAGAGAATCCAAAGTCGTAGTCAAGTAACAGGCGCATGGTCAGAAGGCAGGCGGCAGACAGGAAAAAACACTAAAACAAAACTGATCAAAGACGGCAAGACAAGGCAAAGCAAACACATTGTAAGGTTTACAAATAGATAAACAAGACTCTGCAACGTGTGTGTGTTTGAGAGGTGTATAAATAGTTTGTGTAATTAGTCCTGAACAGTTTCAGCTCTGTCTGTTTGCAATCATGGGGATCTAGGCCAGATATGTGACTGAGTGGTGCATGACTGGATATGTAATTCTTTTGCTGGCAGATTTGTAGTTCTCCAGTGATTTGCTTGGGATAGTTCGCTGGTGACTGTGACAAGTCCACAGCATGTCAATGCAATGTTTAGAGTGCTGCTGATCCTATGCTTCAAAGTTTCTTCCTACTGGAGCCTCATTTTCGTTTTTAAAACGGCGCCCAAATGAAATAAGCATATTTGTCATCAAAATAACCCATAGACCATCAGGGGGTTAACACGTTTCTCATGAAGCGGATCAATGTTATTTTTTAAAAGGAATGTTTGAGATTTTTAAATTATAAAGTCATATCACTAAATGCATGACTGATGTATATGGCACATCTCATAGAAAACACTTACCGTTTTTTGTTTGTTTGTTTTTTTTCCACAGAAAATAACAACAAACACGAAAACTTGATTGATTTGGTGTTGTTTTATAATGTGATACATTATATTTCTCTTACAATGCCACATGCATGTGTCTACCAATCTTAGGTCATACATTATACATTGTATATATCACTTTTAGAAGCTTCAAGATAAAAATCACCATATATTATACAGTCACTACAACATTATACAGCATGGAAGAGTGAGAGTAAAATGTTAAACTACTCTCACTCTGTTTATCTGATAGAGAAAAAAAAGCTATAAACACCGAAGATGATTTGAGGGTGAGTAAATTATGGGGTAGTTTTAATTCCCATCATTGAAAACTTTAGAGATGTTCTCATTGACTACGTTTAAATGGACATTGAATGATTAGCCTTAATCTGAATAAGACAATAATATGATAAGGTGTTTAAATGAGTTTATTTTTGAATGTGTCTGTCATGATCCCATTTTACATGTTATAGCACATAATTTGATGAATGTCATTGAGTTTCATTTTAAGTTTGTCGACTTTAACTGCAATTTGGCACCTTCACTTTTATTCAGGATCTGACATGACAAACGAGATATTGGATGTGAGTATGAACTGCTGGAAGAGTGTAGTTTTAATGGAATTTGATACTGCAGAATGGGGAAAAACAAAACTCTGCATTTCACAAAGTGTGTTTCTGTGGTCCTTCAATGTCAAATAGACATGTCCAAAGTTGGTCCTGGAGGGCCGGTGTCCTGCTGACTTAGCTCCAACTTGCTTCAACACACCTGCCTGGAAGTTTCTAGCATACCTAGTAAGAGCTTGATTAGCTTGTTCAGGTGTGTTTGATTAGGGTTGGAGCTAAACTCTCCAGGACACTGGCCCTCCAGGACCCAGTGTGGACACCCAACCTGTAGATTATCTTTTCACAAAATATGGCAAAAATCCTACACGGCAGTATAGAGTATTGTCTTAATCATGTTAACATCAGATTATTGGTGTCCATGTAAACGTACTTTCGTACTGTATGTGATCATTATACTTTTCATGAATTTTCACATCATCACCCTTTGTTGATATGGCGAGTTCCAGTCTTCTTTTTATTTGTCTTTTTTTTCTTTCTTCCCATCTGCCATATAGCAGAGCATTCAGCTGTTCATTTGTAAAGCAGGGGGAAATGTATGGTGTAGTAGTGGAGTGTAGATTGGCAAAGACTTCTAGTTTTAGAAAACACTGAGTTTTAGATAAAAGCATTGGTGAGCTGATTAAATGTTAATTCTAATAATGGAAATCACCAGCTTTCTTCAAAATCATTTGCACAGTTGTGCCGTAATCATTTCAATTTATCACATCAATTAATTCAATTACATCAATGTAATTCAATCTGATCTCTTACTCTCTTTCAGTGCTCTTGGCGGATCTTCAGCCTTACATATCCCAGCATTTCCCAGTGGAGGATGCCTTATTGACTACGTGCCTCAAGTGTGCCAATTACTCACAAACAAGGTAATTAAAAAGATTTCTATTCACTTGTGTTTTCTTTTATTGAATCAAATCTTTCACTTTCAGCAGTGGTGAACTAAGATGTATTTATATTGCTCGCCATAAATATTAATTTTTCATGAAAGTATACATTAAAACGTATCCTAAAATGAGTACAAAGTACTGTACTGCTTTAGTGCATACAGCACGACTGAATAAAATTAATCTATATTATATATATATATATATATATATATATATATAAATTATATTTATGAAAGCACAAAATCTTAAGCAATACACAATACACTTTTGGTTCTTTTTACATTGAACCAATTATTGTAATGATCAGATCATCCCATTGAAAATATACTGTATATACTGTACCATTTTTAAAAAAATGCATTATATTGTCTTATACACGCACCGGCCACTTTATTAAGTACACCTTATTAGTACCGGGTTGCAGCCCTTTTTGCTTTCAGAATTGCCTTATTCCTTTATGGCATAGATTCAAGGTACTGGACTTATTACTCATAGATTTTGGTCCATATTTACATGATAGCATCACGCAGTTCCTGCAGATTTGTCGGCTGCACATCCATGTTGCGAATCTCCTGTTCCACCACATCCCAAATGTGCTCTATTGGATTGAGCTCTGGTGACTGTGGAGGCCATTCGAGTACAGTGAACTCATTGTCATGTTCAATAAACCAGTCTGAGATGATTCACACTTTATGACATGGTCATGACATGTGTTATCCTGCTGAAAGTAGCCATCAGAAGATTGGTACTCTGTGGTCATAAAGAGATGGACATGGTCAGCAATAATGCTCAGGTAGGTTGTGTCGTTGACACAGTGGTACTAATGGGCCAAAAGTGTGGCAAGAAAATCTCCCCCACATCAATACACCACCATCACCATGCTGAAGCGTTGATACAAGGCAGAGTCAACCCATGCTTATAATGTTACTGACTAAATTCTGACCCCACCATCTGAATGTTGCAGCAGAAATCGAGACTCATCAGACCAGGCAACGTTTCTCCAATCTTCTATTGTCCAATTTTGGTGAGTCTGTGTGAGTCGTAGCCTCAGTTTCCTGTTCTTAGCTGACAGGAATGGCACCCCGTGTGGTCTTCTGCTGCTGTAACTCATCCGCTTCAAGGTTGGAAATGTTGTGCATTTAGAGATTCTCTTCTACATACCTCGGCTGTAAAGAATGGTTATTTGAGTTACTGTTGCCTTTCTATCAGCTTGAACCAGTCTGGCCTACTACTCTGACCTCCGGCATCAACAAGGCATTTGTTTCCACAGAACTGCCGCTCACTGGATATTTTCTCTTTTTCGGACCATTCTCTGTAAACCCTTGAGATGGTTGTGTGTGAAAATCCCAGTAGATCAGCAGTTTCTAAAATACTCGAATGAGCCTGTCAGGCACCAACAACCATGCCACGTTCAAAGTCACTTAAATCACCTTCCTTCCCCATTCTGATGCTCGATTTGAACTGCAGCAGATCATCTTGACCATGTCTACATGCCTAAATGCATTAAGTGGCTGCCATGTCATTGGCTGATTAGAAATTTGAGTAACGAGCAATTGGACAGGTGTACCTAATTAAGTGGCCGGTGGTGATCTGCAATGTGCTTGATATCTAGTCAACATTTGAAGTCAATCAAAAAGTTTATTCTAAGACAAAAAACGGTTATTGCTTTTTTTCAGACAACTTTGATGAAACGTTTTTAATGTACTTTAAATGTTTACTACTGTATTCATAATTCATAATGTATCTACCGTAGCTCTTCCAGCATTTGTACATAGTTTTTTTCCCCGCTCACTTAATTTGCACCTGGCACAAAAACTAAGTTGGAGTGTGCATTTGAATCCCTCCAGTGTATTGTACACACATAGAGACGGTTAACATGATAAACACAATTCTAGCATCAAAAATAAGAGAGATTAAAACTGTTATTTTAAGAAGCATATGTTAAATGTGGCAATCCTTGCAAAGATCCCAATTAAAAAAAATAAACTGTGTTTCACTTATAAGTGGAGTAAGGGTTTGTCTACCACACAATGATATTCATGAATTATGTGCTAAGCAAATTCTTGTGTTTGTATAAATTGCATGCATGTGTTTTTATTTGTTTGTGTGCATGTCTGGATGGCGCAGACAAGGCTGTGTGACAAGTAGAAATAAGAATACGAAAAATGACAAAAATAAATAAAAAGTGACTGTCACTGGCCTCAGGACTCACTGACATTCCTTTACCCTGACATCTCTCCTTCATTTTAGCCCCACTCCCCATATCCACACAGACAGCATGAATAATCAACCCGGCCAATATTTCATTTCATACCGAACCATTGTCCAGCTCCTCCTGGACACACTCACCTAACCCAGGGTCATACATTAGTATACTAGACAGCACAGCTATTTTTTATCTTCATGTTTAAGTTAAGATGTTTGTATTCTGATTCATTTATGAATGTTTTATTTATACTCCACTGCTTACATTATAGTGTATTGACCCCAGGGGTATGAATAATTTCAGGCTTGACTGTAGATATATATAGTGTATTGGATAATTTACATGTGCCAATTTAGTGTTGGTTTACTAGCTTAATTTGACCAGTCTGGTGGCCAATCTTCATTTATCACACAATCAACCAATAAGAGCAGAGTGTGATGGTTTAATTAGCAGAGTAATAGAACAGTCTTGCTAAAAATGTTTCAATGCACACAACATTAATGGGTGACATAACAGAGTTCAAAGGAGGACACATTCTTGGTGTGTGTCTCGCTGGCACATCTGTAATGAAGCAAGCAAGTCTTTGTGATGTATAAAGAGCCATGGTATCCAGAGTAATGGCAGCAAACCACCAAGAAAGACAAACCACATCCAACAAGAATAACTGTGGGTGCAAGAGGAAGCTGTCTAAGGGTGCTTTCACACCTACACTTTTGTTTCGGAACGTATCTCGTTTGCCCAGTTAGCGCGGTTCGTTTGGCATATGTGAACAGGGCAATCGCTCTCTGTTCTTAGCCAAAGTAATCGATCTGAGATCGCTTGAATGACGTGGTCTCGGCTCGATTGAAACGAACCCTGGAGCGGTTCGATTGCAGTGAGAAAGCGATCCGAGCGCGGTTATATCAGTGTTTTATGGCTATGTAATAGGCTTACGGCTATATGAAGAGAGAATTATGAGTAGGGCGCAAAGTTTCGCAAGTCTCCGGATGCCCGCAAACGAGTGATGATCTCCCGGTAATCTTGCGTCTCCCTCCCGGTCCTCAAATAGGCATCGTCGCGCACCCTTCTCACCCCTCCCCACAGCATCTCTCCTCAGACACGTCACAAGCGAGCACCCTATCAATCACCACCAAACCACCACCTCTACTGACAGCTTTGCGGGAGGCTGAAAAATAAACCCTGACACTCTGACCAATGTAAGGAGAGTTTACTCGCACATGACTTGTTTTAGCTCTTTTGGTCTGATTAGAAACTTTGCAGTGTGAAAGCAAACCGCTCCAAGAGCAAAGAGCAACAATGTAACAATTATAATCTCTGTTTCGGAACAACTGAATCGATTCACAGGTATGAAAGCACCCTAAAAGGGATATCCGGGTGCTAACCAGGATTGTGTACAAAAAACAAAACCTCAGCTGACCAACTCACTGCAGAATTAAATGTGCACCTCAGTTCCCCTGTTTGCACTAAAACTGTGCTTTGGGAGCACACATGGTCAATACACATGGCTGGGATGCTATAGCCAAACTTTTGGCCAATTGTGCCAATGCCAAATGTCAGTTTCAATGGTGCCAGCAACAAAAATATTGGGCTGTGGGCAATGTGAAACATGTATTGTTCTCTGTTGAGTCCACCTTCACTGTCTTTCCCTCATCCAGGAGAGTTATGGTGTGGTGAAGCCTCAAAAAAGTGCACCACACAGACTCTTGCATGCCTAAAGTGAAGCATGGGTTTGGATCAGTGATACTTTGAGCATTGCCTATGCTCTATAGTGCATCACTGTCAAGACTACCAAACCATTTTGGAGGACCATGTGTACCCAGTGATTTAAACATCAGGATGTTAATCCATCAATACACAAAGAAAGAGCAAGAGTGATTTGATGAACATGAAAGTGAAGTTGAACATCTTCCATGTCACCAGATCCATATATTATTGAGACACTTTAGGGCAGGGGTGTCAAACTCTATTCCTGGAGGGCCAAAGCCCTGCACAGTTTAGTTCCAACCCTGCTCCAACACACTTACCTGTAGTTTTCAAACAAGCCTGAAGGACTCAATTAGTTTGATCAGGTGTGTTTAATTAGGGTTGGAACTAAACTGTGCAGAGCTGCGGCCCTTTTGGACCTGAGTTTGACACCTGTGCTTTAGGGTGTTTTAGAGGAGCGAGTCAGGAAATGTTTTTGTTGGCCACTATTCTGCAGGAAGTATGGTTTATAATTCCTCTGGCCACTGTTCGGTACTTGTATCAGTCATTCCTAAGACAAATTGATGCTATATTGGGCGCAAAAGGAGGTCCTACACCATACTAATGATTTATTGTGGTCTAAAAGCAGGCGTTTCAGTTTCATTGTCCAACCCCTAACCCTGTACCCTTGCAAAAGTATCACATCACAGAAGCAGTGTTATGTGTTGATCCTCCAGCGCAGCTTACAGAAAACAGTGTTAGAGCTCAGTGTTGTGACAGACACTATTTCTTTTTAATTAGGTTCTTGGAAACTATTCCAAGTCAGAAACTATAATAAAGTCAGTTTTGAAGTTTTATCAAAAGCTAGTTGATCATGCCGTGGTTTTGTTATAGCATACTTTTCACTTTTTATTTCTGGTAGTTGTATGTTCTGGCTTCAGAGTTCATAAACATGGTTTCTGCAGGTTTCTTCGAGTTAAATGTAAGACTTTTTGAGACATTTTTAAGACCATTATGAATGAAATTTTAGAACCATAAAGGTCTAAAGGCTAAGAAATATTTCAAATGTCTCAGATGGAAAAGATTTTTATTTGCCCTGTCATTTTTTTTTATAGAATTTTATAATACAGTAATACATTATTATTAAAAAAATATATTTTTATTTATTTATTTTTTTTTGCAAAATATTTTAAATATTGTGTAAAAACAAGTAATCTTTAGTTGTATCCACACACTTTTTTTTTTTTTTACAAAATTAAAACTTTCTTTTTAACCATAGTTAAAATAAAAGAAAAATGACAAATGTTTTAAAAGTTTTACATGTTTTAAAAGAAAAATGTTTTAAAAGAAATACTATAATAAACTAAATGTATGCACAGCAATCTGCCCAGGTAAGTGTCCTCACTAGTAAATACATGGAGAATTTTTAATAAAAGTTTTTGCAAGGAAAATAATTAAACCATTATGATAAATCAAGTAAAAAATGACCTTTTTAAATAAAAAGTTTAAAGTTTTATTGAGATGATTGTTGATGATTGTATGGGTTTTGGCCAGATTTGGTAGCAATACATGAACAAAGGAATATTAAGACCTGTTTAAAAACAATAGACCTACAGCACAATATTTCAGTAAATTTAAGACTTTTTAAGTCTTAAATCTTTTTCAAGAATGTTGAGTTTTACGCTTTTTGAATCAGTTCAGTCGATTGCTGGGAGCATTTTAGCTTTACTAAGCGTTGATCATTGAATCAGGTTAGACCAATAGCATAGCACTTAATGTCCAAAGAGTTTAGAGAATTTTCTTATTTAAAGCTTGACTCTTCTGTATTACATCATGTACTAAGACAGACAGAAAATAAAAGTTGGAACTTTCCAGACCAATATTGCTAGGAACTACACTTTCATTCCAAATAAGCCTGTTTTCAAGAAAAGTGGAGTGTTCCTTTAACACTGTTTTCACCTGTCATCCTGTCCCACCTTCCTTGTGTGGGTGTAGAAGAGTTCACAGAAAGTTCCTGACGCACCTACTCTAAATAAACAATGCTTAGAGAAACTAAACTAGTCTGTGTTCATATGAGTGACTTTATGCAGCATAATGTTTCTCACAAATGTGGGCCTTTTCTGGACACATGCTGAGTCATGAAATGGAGATCAGCATGGAGTCTTGCATCACACATCATACACGTTTTTACCTGTGGAAAAGCATGTCACTCTTTTTTATGAGTTATTAAATACAACAAAATAGGTCAGAGCAGAAAGTCAAAAGAACTCTTCCGTCTTTTCATTCAAATAAATGCACATCTACACCCTGGTTCAGCTTATCAGAGCGCCGGCCAAACAGATAGTATTGAAGGTTCTTACGTGTGCTGGAAATCCTTGAAAATGTTTGGATTTTAATCCTGTTTTTAGGGTTTGAAATGAGCTTAAATTTTGAATGAAGAGCTTGCAACTGCTTGAAAAATATTCATGTTGCTTTCATGCTAATTTGTTGGGTAGGTAATGATAATTTACTATTTGGATGAAATAAATATTTTGGATTTTGCATAAAATTGAAACTAAGGACTCTGTACATATCCCTATAGCAAGATCTTGCTGTTACATACGGGTTGGGACAACGGAGATGAGGATCCTCGTGCAGTTTAATAATCAAAAACAATAAAGCAGGCAATGATCAAACAGGTACAAACTGGAGCATGAGGGTAATCTAAAGACATGGTCAAAATAACAGGCAAATTGTCAGGACAGGCAGCATAACAGTATAAACAATTAAGTAAATGAGTTTCCAAAAACACGGGAAGGCAAGACAAGAAAAGTGCTTCGTAATGCTAACTGTGCGTTCACAACCGAAAGTGGCGAGAGAGTCAAACTTGCCGGAAGCCATTCTATTCAATGAGAGCCGACAGCGATAAACGATAAGGAGCAGTGTGGCACATCTTCGCCAGTGTGGACGTCAAGGAGACTTGAAATCAAGTCAACTTTACGGTACCAGTTGAAATGTAGATGTCCACCGCTTGAGAGGAGTCCAGAGAAAACAGTCACTGTGAACGTTGGTTCCAACCATAGTTTTTCCCAAGGGTTTGATTATTGCTGTTGCTGGATTTCCAATTATGCACGATGTTTTCTTATAGGGACATACAGTACATTTAAAAACAAAAGTTACTGGCGAGTTGATGCCCATTATTCTTATTTTTTTTTTCTTTAAAAAAACTTGAATCTCATGCTAACTATAATGACAGTACAAAACATTAATGCTGCTTCAGAATATTACAGACATGGACCCATATGGAATAAGCGGAGCAAAGTCACAGAACACGCAACGGCTTGATCTTCCACAGTTAAATGAATTTAAACAAAAACATTTTTATGCTAGAAAGCATGTTTTTATGTGGGAATGTAAGTGATTTGCTGATGTAAGTGATTTGTGGCAGTGACCCCTTTAAATATGAGATCAGAATAGCAGATTTTAACGTACTGTACTATACTGTACTACACTACATACTATAGTGTACTATACTATGCAACAGAATACTTTAGCAAATACCATTTGACATTGTGATGTATGTGTGCAAAGTATGTGTGTATATGTATGTAAATATGTAATTTGCAACGCTTGTAAAATACTGGAAAAGTTTGAAAATGCATCTGTAAATTGCTTAAATAGTGAGTGTTGCTTCATATACAAAATATTAAAATGTATCTATATTAATCACCTTTTCTCTAAAGGAAAAATATAGATATTACTTAGAACATTTTTCCCTTTTTTTACAATAATTAAAAGCAAAAAAAACATACTTGATCCTATTGAGTAGGTCATGATACTTTAAACTTTTGGTCAAACTTTATTTTAAGATACAATGTTTGCTATTAACAGATCATTAACTAAGACTTTTAGCTCAATAAAATACCAATTTACTTACTAATAGTCAGTTTTGCGCATTAAAAGTATCGCAAGTTACTTTAAATTTCAATTAATTTGCTTTCCTTAAATGCTGAATTAAAATGAAAAAAGTCACATTGAATCAAGCAGTCAATGAGAGAATGTGTTCATTATTTTGAATGCATTGAAGAAAAGGAAACGGGGATTATAGTCTTAATAGATAGTGATTTTACTTCAGACAAATAGCACAAAAGTAGCAAACACAATGCTTTAAACTTTCAATAATCTGTATATATGGCATGTAGAGCTCTGGGGTCAGAAAGTTCTTCAATATCATTTTCCTAAAATAATATTTTGATGGGTTTTTAAAGGTAAATGAAGGTGTAGATTATTCAGTGCATTGTTAATTGAAGAACCCCTCTTTTAATAAAAGAAAGGGAAAAAAAATTATTCTGTAAGAGATCAAGCCTCAGCCAGGTTATGAAAAGTAACACAAAAGTAACTCAAAAGTAACATAACACATTCAACTAGTTACTTTTTTGGGGAGTAACTTGATGTTCAAATGCATTACTTTCAAAAGTACAGTAATAGTTACTAAAGTATAATACTTTGAGTATTAATAAACAGCCAATGTCTTAATAATAAGCCAGTAGTTGATAGTGGAAATTGGTACTTAAACAAAAGTGTTACCAAAGATTTTAGTAAAAGTATCATGATTGTAATGAAAATTTTGAGTCATTAGCCCCTTTCACACAGTGATACCGGAAAATATCCGGAAAATTTACGGAACGACTTTACCGGTATGTTCAAAAAAGCGCTGTTCACACAGGCGAGGACGTTACGGAAATTTTCCGGAAAAGAGCATTCACACATCCATTCCAAAATACCGGTAAATTCTGACATCATTCACCACAAATGAGCTTTAAACGGCTGCGCTTGTATTTGTAAACATTTGACTAAATGACAAACTCTGTGGATGATCAATATTGTGAACAACTTTCGCAGGATCACTTTCTCATGTCGAGATGTTCATATTATCTGCGTGTGCAGGCGCTCATATGCGCACGCAAAGCTTGAAGGTAAACAAACAACGGCTTATCATAAGCATCTTATCGATGATTATTTACACAGTTGGCATTAAGAAGAACATATAAACGTGATCTGACTAACTTCTAGCAGCTAAATGTGTCTGGAAAAATATTCAAAGGCTTTTAACCTCACAAACCGCGCGGACGTAAATGCGTCTGACTGTTGTGATTGGCTAAAGCAGATGTCTCACGTCAGCACGTTCTAGACGTGCACGCGCTTATTACGGGAATCTTCCTTCTGCATTCACACAGCGCAGCATTCCGGCAAATTCCCGTTAATGTTACAACTTCTCTTTCCGGAAAATAGCCAGAACGAATTTACCGGTATTTTCAAAAAGGACCTGTTCACACATACAACCGTTCCGGAAAATTGCCGGCAATTTTCCGGAAAGGTCTGTATGTGTGAAAGGGGCTATTGAAGCAGTTCATTTAATGTGTGAATTTTATTCATTCAACTTTCTTATTAAATAAAATGGTAGTCATGTTATCCAAAATATTGCATTTAGTAAAAGTCAAATAACAGAAATGAGAGAATGTGATAGAATTGAAATAGATTTTTTTTTTTTTTAATGAAGGTTTATATCAGGCCATTTTGTTTAAAAAACATTTTCACCTGTTTTGTCACAGTTCATTTCTTACATTGTTGTGAATACAATACCTATCTAAAAGTGACAAGAAGCCACTTGTGGAGCCAGTGTGGATATGTGTCTTATTTTTGCTTCCTCTGACCTCTGTTAAGCAAAGTGCATGCACTTAACAATGTAAAAAAAGACCAAAAGCATAAAGTTGTTGTTGTTGTTGTTGTTGTTGTTGTTGTTGTTGTTGTTGTTGTTGTTGTTGTTGTTGTTGTTGTTTTCAGCTACATGCATTTGGTCCATTTCATTTCTTTCTCTCTGTTTTTAATATTACGTTTGTTTTGTCTTGACCTAGGTTCAGTATGTCATTCAAGGATATCACAAGAGGAGAGAATACATTGCTGCTTTTCTCAGTCACTTTGGCATGTGAGTTCAATGTCTATAAGATTTGGAGTTAAAAAGTATTCATTTGAAAGTCATTTAATAATTGACACTTAAAACCACAAGCCGTTTCTCATAAAAGTAATCTAATAAATGATCAGCGTGAGACTTTGAAGGAAAAGCTAAAACTGGCCCTGCGAGTCCAGGCCTGCAGCAGTAACCAGTATAGCTACTCACCACACCCATGTTATCTTGAGAAATTAGTTACCAACACTAATTCCCTTTTTTCTTAATTACTTGGGATAATTCTGCTTTCTAATCTCAAAAGCAAGTACAGACAGCAGCTTTATAATGGGCTGTAATACACTAGGCACCAAGATGTCTCTGGTTTATTAACACGCCTTAATATATTGTCAGACAAGGTGGTCTGGCACAGCCTAACTCATTGATTTATTAATGTAATTTTAATGAGTGCTATTATGTGAAACCTGCTTTTAGGGATGCTCTAGGAAGTATTTGGATCATTTTAAAATTCCTTTGTTTTTGATAAAACCATTACAGTGTATACTGAACCTTGTCCAAATACTTTTGTGGCATTGATTTTGAAATCAGGAACACTCCATTCGCTCATTTTACACTTCCCTAGAGTTTAATTGTTGACTTTTACCATTTTATTCCATTCAATCTGTCTGGTGGAAGCACTTTTAGCTTAGCTTAGCATAGATCATTGAATCAGATTAGACTATTAGCATCTCACCTAAAAATGACCAAAGATTTCTGATGTTTTTCTAATTAAAACCAGACTTTTCTTTAGTCATAGTGTGTAAAAAGACCAATGGAAACCTAAAAGTTGCTATTTCCTACGCTGATATGGCTAGAAATCATGGCTGCTGCTGGCACAATTGTATTACACAGTACCTGAAAGTTGGCCAACTTCTATATAATTCAGTTCTGATAGAAGCAGTTTAGAATCTGCACCAAAGTTAGTATGTTCTGAATCATTTCTCAGAAATTGGTTATCAAGGTAAACAAATTGCAGGTACTGCAGCAGCAAAGTTTCTTAATTGTTACACCAGAAAAATAGTATACTGTAGCTCCTAGAGACATCAGACTAGAAAATAGCAACTTTTCATTTTCTGTCGTTTCGGTACATGATGTAACTACACAAGTGTCATGCTTTAAATAGGAAAACTAATAAAACTCTTTGGTCATTATTGAGCAAGATGCTAATGATCTTATCCGATTTAATGATCTATGCTAAGCTAAGCTAAATCATCCTGAGATTGACTAAATTAGAGATGCCCAAACTAGGGCCCATGGTAACCTTTGATTTGGCCCACCATCCCATAGGAAAAGAGAAGGAGATCGATGGGCATGGTTCAATTCAAATTTAATGTAACCATTTTTTTGTGTTTGTTTGTTTGTTTTATTTTTAAAAGCTAACTGAAATTAAATTGTTCCATTAAGTAATCTCCACTTATTTTGAATGGCATCGTTTATGTTTTTATTGCAATGAGTTCTCGTTTTAAAGGTTATACTGCATTAGTAAAGTATGGTTTTCTATTTATTTTGAAATATTAGGAAATGAATTAGGAAATTACCCATGGCCACTTTTATTTAATATGCTGTAGTTTGGTATATTTACCTTCGGCCCACGGCTCTCAATGGTTTTTGCTTTTTAGCCCTTCATATGAAAATGTTTGGGCACCCCTGGACTAAATGGATTCAAAACTCAACTGTTTAACTCAAGGGGAGCTGAAAACTTATCCTGGTTTCAAAAAAAGGAGTGTTCCTTTAAGGCTTGCTTTTGTGGTGAATTTTAAGGTCATTTTAATGTCTTTACAATCTTCTGTTGCAAACTGAAATATTATGAAATATTCATTTTCCCTGTTTTGACTATACAGGGGTGTGGTGGAGTATGATGCTGTTGGCTTTACCAAGCTCACCCTTCTGCTTATGTGGAAAGACTTCTGCTTCCTGGTCCATGGTAAAATATATATTAATATGTTACCTTTATATGTTCACAATTTTCAACCCATGTGCTTTAAAAAAATCATGCCTGCATTTCTGAAGAAAACAAAATGAAGTGTATTGCTCTGGAAGGATTTAACTGTGCTTTCATCTTATGTATTATATACAGTTGAAGTCAGAATTATTAGCCCCCCTAAATTATTAGCCCCCCTGTTTATTTCTTCCACAATTTCTGTTTATTAGAGAGCAGATTTTTTCAACACATTTCTAAACATAATCGTTTTAATAACTCATTTCTAATAACTGATTTATTTTATCGTTGTCATGATGACAGTAAATAATATTTGAATAGATATTTTTGAGACACTTCTATTCTGCTTAAAGTGACATTTAAAGGCTTAACTAGTTAACTAGGTTAAGTAGGCAGATAATTAGGCAAGTTATTATACAATGATGGTTTGTTCTATAGACTATGGGAAAAAATATATAGCTTGAAGGGGCTTAAAATTTTTACCTTAAAATAGATTAAAAAAAAATTTAAAAACTGCCTTATTTTAGCCAAAATAAGACTTTCTCCAGAAGAAAAAATATTATCAGACATACTGTGAAAATTTCCTTGTTCTGTTAAACATCATTTGAAAAATATTTTAAAAAGAAAAAAAATCAAAGGGGGACTAATAATTGTGACTTCAACTATATATTTATGACCAACGAGACAGACCCATCCAACAAACTAGGTTGAGTTTTTTATTATCTCAAAGATTTAAGTGATAAATTGTAAGAGTTTACATGGAAAAGTACTGTAGTAATTTATAGTAAATATTACATAGTTTATAAACATACTAAAGTAAAGTATTTTCATATAACAATACAACTACAGTTACAAATTACAAAATACTTTACTTTTCTACAATAATAGGGTGTATAATACTACAATACATCAGAGTTTAACTATTATACCTCTAACCATTGACTTGCATACAAATACTTGGAAAAACAAATACTGTGGAAGTCAATGTTTACAGTTTTTCAGCATTCTTCAAAACATCTTATTTGTGTTCAACACAAAGCTCAAACAGTTTTGGAACAAGTGAAGTGAAAGTAAATGATGACAGAATTTTCAGTTCAGGGTGAACCTGGGTCCCTTTAAACTGACTGTACTGAAATGTGCCTGTGTGTGTAAACACAATGCATGATAAATATGTTAAAAACATACATATGCAGTATATTTGCACATCAATTTCATGAGTGCTTTCTGTTCAACTTCTGTGCATCACCTCAGTCGTCTATGCCAAAGTAAAGTTTTGCCCCAGGCACGACATAAAGTCTTTTCACTAGTTTCAAAAGAGGTATCATTATCATTTTTAATAGCAAATGCATCTGCACCTATTTATGCGCCAACTGGCATGCTGGTTTGAAAAGGAGTGCATTGCTATTTTAAGGCAACTGAAATAGACCACATCATCAAACAACTAAAAGCTGCTCTAATGTCAATAGCACTTTTTTTTGTTTGTTTGTTTTAAGTACGTATTTGTGATAGAGGGCCCTAATTGCTTGTACATGTTGCTTATTACACACACAAGGATGTGCAGCAGCACAGAAATATCTTATGAAAAATTAAATTAATAAATGTAAAAGATTATTGTCTGCATAAATGTAAAAACTGCTACCTCCTCCCACTTACTCTTTACCAAGGGGGGCTTTGGTGGAATCTGGCTTGTTCCATAGATGGCTTTAATCTCACGCGCAAGCCGTTTCCTTACTAATAAGGCATTCAGTTTTTCCAGGTACAAAGGTCAATCATGTAAATAGTGAAATAGTGTCATTGTGCGACTGTAACTCACTCTTACCATGTTTTCACACCACCAGTGTTGAAAGAGTCAAAGTAGCTGGAATCATTCCGTTTCAGTTCACCTCAATTCAGTTACCAACTAAAGTGGTGCGTATTGTTTTGCATGGTGTAGGCAAAATAGGAGAGTTGAATCAGGTCAACTTTATGGTAATGAGCTATGGTATCAGAATATAACAGTCTGCCACTTTACACCATTCTAGAGAATGCAATCCAATAAACTTAGGTTCCAACCATATTAGTTCCCAAGCAAAATAAACACAGAGGTTGATTAGGTTGATAAAAGTGCCAAAACTAAATTAAACATCCTCTATAAACAACATGTTTAAATTAGACTACCACCTAATCACGAACACAAAAGCCTCACTATATAAACAGCTTTTAGTTGCTTTATTTCATTAGAAAACATATAAATATGTTAAGAGAACAACTACAACACTTTTAGACTATGCTCTGGGTGCACAGGCTATTTTTCCCACCCTTAAAATAGCTAACTGGACATGTCCTAAGTGCACCTGCGCAGTGTGCTTTAGACTCTGCGCTTAGATAATTAAAATAGAGCCACTTTGTTTGTGTTCGCATAGGTCTATTGTGTGTGTGTACTGTTGAACACAACGTTTATATATTTATAACCACCTCCGAGGATAGTCATGGACGCGGGTCACTGGTATTGTTATTTTGGGGGTCAGGGGCTTAAACATTTGGAACTCCTGCTCTATTCCTTGTTTATCAAAATTTTAGTTTGGTCATACAGCGGTGGAATGTTATGACAGTAATTTGTCACACAGCATGATGTGTGAGGGCTCACACTCATCAGAACACACAGAAAATTGCACAGCTGTTGTGTAAAGTAAAACCCAAGATAAAAAAATAATGTGTTACATTCTGGCCACATGTCACTGTTCTCTACCATCGCTGGTTCTCAGCCATCTCTTTCCTAGAGTTCATTTATTCATTCATTCATTTTCTTGTCGGCTTAGTCCCTTTATTAATCAGGGATCACCACAGCGGAATGAACTGCCAACTCATCCAGCACGTTTTTACGCAGCGAATGCCCTTCCAGCCGCAACCCATCTCTGGGAAACATCCACACACAAACACACACACACATACACACACACACACACATACATTACGGACAATTTAGCCTGCCCAATTCACCTGTATCCCATGTCTTTGGACTGTGGGGGAAACCGGAGCACCCGGAGGAAACCCACGCGAATGCAGGTAGAACATGCAAACTTCTCACAGAAACGCCAACTGAGCCGAGGTTCAAACCAGCGACCTTCTTGCTGTGAGGCGTCAGCACTACCTACTGAGCCACTGCTTCGCCCTTTCCTAGAGTTTAGAGACTTAAAATGATCTGATTACAAATTAAAAAGCAGGTTAGGATATAGCATTTAACAGCGAGGTTAAATGTGTCTAGATCATGTGACATTATGATTTAAATTCAGTGCAAACATTGTTTGTGTACACCTATATTTATTTGTTAAAGGGAAAGTTCACCCAAAAATGGAAATTTACCCCCTCAAGATGTTCTAACCCCTTTATGAAGTTCTTTTCTCTGACAACAAATATTTTGAACAGTGCTGGAAACCTGTAACCACAAATGTATTTTTTTATTTTCTTTTGTGTTCTTTTAAAGTAGATGTGATGTGCATCAAACCAATACATTTACTACATCAAAAAAGCCATACATCTATAACAGATTCAAATGTCAAAATTTATTGAGTATTACAGTTTAAGAAGGTCAAAACATTTAATGACAGTTTTTATAGAGCTTTTTAGTGATTGTTAATCTTTCCATTATCATGATTTCTATGAAAAAAAAAAAAAAAAGCTTTTTACAGTCAGATGTGTCACTATGTCTTAAGTTGCACTGATACATTTAGGCCCAATCCCAGTTCTACCCCTAAACCCTTCCCCTTACCCCTACCCCTCCTGCGCATTCCTATGAAGAGGTTGGGGTGTCCAAATTCTTTTTAGCTTGAAGGCGTAGGGCTAGGGAGAAGGGACAGATTAAATTTTTTAGGACCACCCTCGAAACCAGTGGGTAAAAAATTTTCCCAGAATTCACCAGCCACAACGGCAGGATAGATACACCCGGAAGTAAGGAGATCCACAATATAGTATTTTTGTCATTATTATGAATTTTTAAAACAAACAAGCACGTTTTAAAATAGCCATAACCACCTTTGTGTTTTATCGTCATGCTAAAAAAAAAAAAAAACGTTAAAATAAAAACACTAAACTTCGCTATCTATAATCCATAATCATAACTCTTAATAACTCCTGTACAGCAGTCCCACAACATTCTGTCACTCGAATCCTCTGTCAGAAAAGTCCAGTGGCTGTCAATGGGCTTTTTGCAGTGCCTGCTATAATGTTAATGTTGTTTTTGTGTGTTTATATAGATGAATATGGCCACAGTGTAAATGCACAGTACAGTTACGATCTTATTGCCACATTAGATCATTATGATAACATAATATATGCCCTCAGTGATATCCCGAAGATAAATACCAAAAAATAAAGCAACTGGAATAACTATAGCAGTCGCGATCGTCTGATGTCATATGACCACTCAAATTTGAAGACCTGTCAGAAGAGGTGAGCTGATAAACAAAGACAAAACACCAGAAAAACAATAAATGATCATTTCCTCTTTCTTATAGCATTCTAGTTATGACTTGTTTGTAGTGTGATCAACGTCTGGGCTAGTTGTAGATGAGTTTGGAAGAAACTTGTAACATTTTAATAATATTTTGGCAAATTGAACGAGTAGAACGAAATGACTCTAAAAATGATTCGTTCATCTCACAACAAGACTCAAGGGTCCGAGTCAGTAAAATGATCTGAACTTCCCATCACTACCCTCCGTTCGCAGAAAACGCACATCACGTGACCACACACACACACACACACAGTCATGCACTCCTCTTAGATTTTTAGCTTTCATATTCGGTCAACATCTTAATTTCAGAATTTAGAATTCAAATTGACATACTGTATATGACTGGTTTTGTGGCCCAGGGTCACATATTACTAATAGGTCTGGGTTGGATTTACTGTATGTATTGTGATGCAATAAACTTCTAGCACTGGTTTATGGTGGCATCTGTCAAGTTCTGGACGATCTGTATTTGATTTCTCCATCCTGTCTTCCTGTAGTGGATCTGCCTTTGTACTTCCCTCGAGATCAGCCCACCCTGACGTTTCAGTCCATCTATCACTTCACCAGCAGTGGGCAGCTCTACTCTCAGGTGCAAAAATCCTACCCCTACAGTCCACGCTGGGATGGGAACGAGATGGCCAAACGAGCCAAGTAAGAGCAAATGAATAATGAATATTGCCAACACAGATCAAAAGAGTTTTCTCTTAGTTAAACAGATGTGTGTGTTTTACATTTCCAATTCCTGTGTAATATTAACCCAGTTTAAAGGGATAGTTCACCCCAAAATGACTGCAGAGTTTTCAGTTTTAGATGAAAATGAAATAGGCTTGTGTATTTTTGTTTTGTTGAACACAAAAGAAGATATTTTGAAGAATGTTGTAAGCCTGTAACCATTGACGACTGCTATGGAAGAACATTCTTCAAAATAACTTCTTTTGTGTTCAACAGAAACAAAAAAATATATGGAAAAACTGAGCAAATCCTGAGAGAGTTTTCAGTTTTTGCGTGAACTGTCCCTTTAAGGGAGTCTTCTGGAGGTTAATGGAATGTGCAGTATTTACCTTTGGACTTCTCTCCCAGCCACACCTCATAGCTGGAGAGCACATTTTATCCAGAGTGTGATACGTGTCAGAGATAGTGTTTTGTGTTTTGTGTTTGGAACATATCTTATCACCTATTGGCTCTCTGGCTGGGCTTTAATCAGCCAGAGATTTCAAATGTAGGCACCCTTAATACTTTACCTGCATGTATTGACATATACTGAACTTAGTGTGCAGTTTGACCTAATTGGAAGTAGTTTGTTATTTAAGCATAGTATATGTTGTCACACAGTGGGTACGGAAAGTTTTCAGACTCCCTTAAATGTTTCACTCTTTGTTATTTTGCAGCAATTTGCTAAAATCATTCAAGTTCATTTTTTCCTCATTAATGTACACACAGCACTTCATATTGACAGAAAAACACAGAATTGTTGACATTTTTGCAGATTTATTAAAAAAGAAAAACTAAAATTTCACATGCCCCTATTTAGATCGTTTGCTGTCACACTCGCACTGTAATGCTGATGGTTTCAGTACAAAAGTACTGTTTTTGCAATTCATACAAATTCATACGAATTTTGTGATATAAACAAGTTAAAAAAATTTTAATTTATATGTTATTAAATAATCCGAGGCCTGTTGCAGAAAGTAGTTTTGGAGTTTTACCAAGGTAATTCTGAACAATCTCCGGGTTTTGGGCTCATGAAGTCGGGTGATTTTGATTTCATCGCCATTGTAACTTGCGATACACTCCCAACTTTCTCTGGAACTGATTTTATTCTTGGTTAGACATCGCAAACCTAAACTGGATCAATCAGCTGTGAGTAAAATGACAGAACGAAGCCACTTTCAGATCCAGAGAAGCTTTTTTATTTTAAATTAAAGCCTTTCAGACTAAAAGCATTTTAAGTCAAAATTGTATTTTGTTGCTAATAACTTATGTTATATGGATTATTATTATTTGTATTATATTTAAATAGTCAGGATTCATACGGTCTTGGAAAACCTGGAAAAGTCATGAAATTTTGAAAAGGCATTTTCCAGGTTTGGAAAAGTTTTGGAAAAACAAATAAAGCCAAATTGTTTTGAAAAAGTCATGAAATTTTGTTAAGCAATTATCTGTGTATTGGATTTATTTGAGATGATACATTTGAAATAAAATAAAATTGAGCCATCCATCCCTTCATGTGACATTCTCTGTGTGGGGTACACTTAGCAATAACTTCAAAAATCACTCGCTTTCACTGAATTCAAGATACATTTTGAATGTGTTGTTTCCAAAAACAATATCTAATTGAAAAGGTAGGATACTGTGGGTGCTAAAGGCTAATTTGTACTAATCTGAAGTCTTGTGATGACACAAGCCAAAATTTATAAGAATTTCAGCAGACCGCAAAATATTTTCTAAAAACTATTTTACAGATATAAAAATAAATATAAACTACATGGATTGTCACATATGTTTTCATATGCTGTAATTTTGAACATGCTTTTTTGTCTGATTTACCAGGTGTATATAGTCACATAAAACCCGAAACAAGATCATGAATATTTACCTAAAAGTTTTGGAAAAGTTACTGAGAAGTTCTGCAATTTTAGTAGTAAAAATGTGTATAAACCCTGAATATTATATATTCAAAAGTTTTGAGTTGCCAATACATTAATTCATTCCACAGCGGAATGAACCGCCAACTTATACAGCACGTTTTTACCCAGTGAATGTCCTTGCAGCCACAACCCATCTGTGGAAACAATCATACACACTTCAATTTTAGCTTACCCAGATCACCTGTACTTCATGTCTTTGGACTGTGGAGGAAACCGGAGCACCCGGTGGAAACCCACGGGAACGCAGGGAGAACATGCAAACTCCACACAGAAATGCCAACTGAACCAGCCGAAGCTCAAACCAGCGACCTTCTTGCTGTGAGGCAACAGTACTACCTACTGCGCCACCAGTTGCCAATACATTTAATGCCTAATTAAATGTACATTTAATATTTAAAGCTTTAAAAATGACTGTCTTTTAAGCTAATGGTAACCCTTATTAAAATCTGTTAATTTGTTTTGCATTGATTTAATATTTAAGTAATTAAATACATAAAAAAGTGTTTCTGCCTTGTAAATGCATAATAGAGGCTCTCTTAATCTTCCATAAATTTTGAGAAATGAATCAAACTGATCCTCACTTGTCTTGTGATTGGCTGCATGTGTCACACTTCATACAGCTGTATGTGGTCCAGATATAATCATGAACTCTTGGTTAACAGAGAAAATGTATATCAAGTGTCATGAAATCACTTAAATGTGCAGTAGGTGATTGTTTTCAGAAACAATTTTTGTTGTGCTGGTTAAAAGTCTCTTCACAGTCCATTAGTAATGATTAAAGTAAATTATCTTAATGTGTTTATGTGTATTTTTATATTCTAAGTCAGACATAAGGATGAAAATGTTTATCCAATAAAAAATTTGTCAGGCCGATAATTCCCATAATTCTGATAAGTAGCCCACACTGTCTGTCAACAAATGTAGATTTGTACATCTGCACAATCCTGTTCGTGCAGATCCGCCATTTGTGCGTGCACGAGCACTTAGAGAGAGTGACAGCAGTAAAAACAAATGCTGAATCAAAACTTTTTTAAATCTTGAATCAATATTGGAGTTACTTTTGCACGCTGGATGAAGGATAACACCATAGCTGAAGTATTTCTTTTTGACAAGGAATGTTTTGCTCATGCAAAGTTTATGTAGATTGTTTTGTTATGAATAGGTTATACGCACAGAAGTGTTGTTCAGTCACAGAAATCCTTCAGCAAAAGATTGATGTGACTATTTTCAGTTTCAAAAGGGACCTTTTACAGCATCAATAATGTAGATTTTTATTTAATTTACAAAACATCAGTAAATAAAGTTATTCCTCCTAGCCTGCTTTACTGAGATTAAGTTTGTTTTATATTCACATTGGATCATTTTTGAACAATGACAACTTGTGATGGCTTCCTATATTGTTTACCATGCTACTCAGTTTATTCGGTCTGAAATAGCATGTAAGTATGGCTTAGTAATAAGTGTAATTCCTGCACCCCGCCAGGCAAGCACAGTCTAAGCATTATTACACTAGAAGAAAATGAGACCAGCGATCCTTGTATGCATGAAATATTGCACATTATGACAAATTCTGCTTGCTACACAGCTGAAAACATGCTCGATATAATACATATTTACGTTCAGAGTTGTAGTATTATGAAAGTACTATAAAATTTTCTAACTGGCAAATGATGTGATCTAGTGGGTTGTCTACTGCCATCTTTAAGTTATGCGTTTACTATTTCAGGAGGTGTGGCTTTGGACGGTGGGGCAGGGACTGTGTTTTTAAACATATTATGCTAAACTGTTAGCATTTTGACAAATCGCCTACTGCACCTTTATCCTGATCCTAACCAGGTTGAATTTGTTTGTTTTGTCAACACAAAACCTACTCTGCAGCCTGAGTTAGTACAACTCATTTTATGCAGCAAGCCTCTGGTGTTTTAAAGGGAGAATTCCAAAAATAGTTTTGGGAATAATTATAACAGCAGTCAGACGGTCAAGGTGCTTTCACATTTCACTTTTTGAATGACACTAATGATGTCCTGTCTCTTTCTCTTTCTTTTCCCTTTCTCTCATTCTGTCATTTCCTCTCTCACCCACAGGACTTACTTCAAGAGCTTTATCCCTCAGTTCCAGGAGGGGGCTTTTGCCAATGGAAAGCTGTAGATTTACAGCATGAAGGTCTGCTTTTACAGTTGGAGTTCATGAACAGGTTGTACAGGAAACAGCATGTCTGACTTACAATCCTGACAACTGCTCCTCTGTAATGTTTTTGCTCTCATAATGTCATTCAGTATATTTAAATGTACTGTAGGTGTGCGTTTTTATTTCTGTTTACCTTTATTGTTTTTTTTTGTAATAATTTAAATGCCTTTAGTTTTTTCCTCATGTCATTTCTGAACAGCTAAAATCAATAAATCAAGTTTCTTTGCTACTTTCCTCAGTTTCAGATTTAATGTTTTATTAATCGTTTTACTTTTAAATATTGGTCACACTTTATTTTAAATGTACAATTTTGGCTATCAATAAATCATTAACTAACTCTTTCAGCTCAATAAACTGAAAATTAGCTGCTTATAGTTAGTAAAGAAATAGTTTAGCTTAGGATTAAGGATGTAAAATAAGATCATACTTTATAAGTGCTAATAAACAGTTAATATATTAAAACAGGCAGGTAATGAGCCAGTAGTAAATGGTGTCAATCGTTATGTAAACTAAAGTGTTGCCAAAATATTTTACATTGACAAAATGCCTTCGTTGATTTTGGCAAAGCTGATAAATAATTAGCCAATCTGTTATATTAGCAGTTTAACGTTAGCATGGACTTTTGGATTTAATGGAGCGAGCTGTTTTATTTGTACACAAGCAAAGATTATGAATACAGTACCAAATGTATTGCTGGCTGTTATTAACTACTGCTAACTAACCTGACCTTGTTGTAAAGTGTCACTGTTATCCATAAATAATAATAATAATAATAATAATAATAATCATTATCATCATCTTGTGTGAAAGTGAGCATTTGATTTGATTAAAGTGACTGTCACTTATACACTCACAATCAAAAATATTTAGAACAGTACAATTTTGAATGTTTTTTAAACAAGTCTGTATTTATTTGATTACAGCAAAAGAGAAAGTTTCACTATGTAAAATAAGCATTTTCTATTGGAATGTATTTTAAAAAGTTATTTATTGCTGCGATTTGAAAGCTGATTTTAGCATTATTATTCCAGTCAAATGACCCTTCAAGAAACACAAATCAAATTATTAGTATGTTGAAAACAGCAGATTTGAATTTGTTCTGCTCTCTACGATGAATAGAAAGTTCAGAAGAACAGCATTAATGTGAAATAGAACTATTCTGTGACATAAAAATTTATTTAATCATTTTAATTGAAAGCATCCTTGCCAAATATAAGTATTAATTGGGGGAGGGGGTTGGTCATGGAATATAGTATAATGTTATAAAAGCTTCCTAGTTCAGATAAACGTGGATCTTTGGATCGCAGAACAAAGAATCCTGTTATTGTATTATACACTGTAAAAAATGCTGGGTTCCACACAATCAAACTGCGTTGGGACCAGGGGCAGATTTAGTGATTTGGGGGCCCTAAGCAATTCCAGATATATGGCCCTAGCATTTTTTTTTAATAATCTGCATGTTAAAAAGTAAGCTATTTAAATAAATATACATAAAAAGTAAAGAAAAATATTTCAAGTATAACAAAGGAACACCTATCTTCTTAAATAAAATTAAAAAGCAATAAGTTTGAAAATAAAAAAAAATAAAAACTTCACAAACTATATAAAGCAGGGGTGTCCAAACTTGGTCCTGGTGGGCCGGTGTCCTGCAGATTTTAGCTCCAACTTGCCTCAACACACCTGCACGGATGTTTCTAGAAAGCCTAGTAAATCGGCTGTCACACTGCACTTTTCTCCTTGTAGACATCCATTCATACGCACGGGAATGCTTCAGACCAGCAACACAAGCCTGTGCGACAAGTTTCACAGTTTGCTGGGTTGGAAAGTTCAAGCTTGGTGACCTCTGACCTGCGAAATCGCATCACATGATTGCGTGAGACCAACCGAAGATCAAAAGATGATCTTTCTGGACAGAAATTTAAAATATGGATCAATTGCTCAATTTTTTAATGTCTAATAAGTTTGTTTAATCCCGCCCCTTTTCACACCAACATACAACAGAATTTCGCTTGCACAAACTAGTGTGACTGCAGCATAGGAGCTTGATTAGCTAGCCCAGGTGTGACTGATTGGGCATGATACAGAAGGAATGTTCCATTATTCATATGGGCCCCTGGTTTTAAACAGAATTAATAACGTTTAAATCTTAACAGTTATAGACAGATTTTACAACATTTTAAAAGAGCTATATGATTTATACAGGTTTCTTGGCATTGATCTGGGGCCCCTGATTCCCTGGGGTCCTAAGTGGCTGCTCACCCTGATTATTGGTGAAGTCTGCCCCTTGTTGGGACAACATTAAGGAACTACATTAACTTTTAGTTTTACAAATGTAAATGGATTGAAAAAAACTCAAGAATGTTGTTGTTTCAGCTCAATTTAAATAAGTAGTTTGAATAAACAGCAAACGTCAGTTTTGAGTGCGATAATGCTATTAA